ACCAGCACCTCTAAAACGAACTATGTTATATCTTGTTTGGTTAATTAGCACAAAAACTGAAGTGTAAAAATGCCTAGTTGTAGTTTATCAGGGGAATATGTGCCTGACTGTGTCTTTGGATGGGTGCGGGACCTTGCATCTTCTCGTCACCGTGAGGCTGGCGGGCAACCAGTGGAGAATCCAGGAAGTTACGGCATACCGCTCTCTTAAAATGTTGAACTACAGTACTGTGCAAAAGCTTTAGGCAGATAGTTCTCAGCAGTTTAGATTTTTACCCATCACGCAGCACTATCAGTGATGCATCTGACCAGTCATTCTCCAGCATGACAACAACCCCACACACAACCAAAGTCTTGAATAACTACTTTCAATGGCAAGAAGAACAAAGAGTTCTGCAACAGATGGTCTGGCCCCCACAGAGCCCTGATCTCAACATCATAGAGTCAGTCTGGGATCACATGAAGAGACAGGAGACACTGAGACAGCCTGAATCCACAGATGAAACTGAGCAGAATTATACCTTTGAGAACGGGAGTTTTTATAGGATAAGGTTGTCACACAAAAAATGTTTTATTTTCATTGATTTTCAACTTTTAATACATATCCCATAGAACCCATTCCCAACACAAGGGAGGCAAACAAAACAGCAACACTCCAAAGCAAACAGCAAACTCCACAGCAAACGGACAACAGACGCTGCTGTATACAAAAATGTAAATGCGCAGTTACTCAGCTTTTCTCTTCAGAAGTTTACTGAAGTGATCAGTGCAGAGCCATGGGTGGACAGAGTCAGCAACGTTATTTGACACATGAGCTTGTTAGCACCTTTGGTTCGCAACACATCCTGCTGTCTGCCACTTTTAACCAAACACACTACCATCATTAGACCCCGGAGCAAGTCAGACACATTTATACAGATAGGTTTTTGTTGTTTTGTTTTTGTTGTTTTGTCACCACAAAAAAGTTTTTTTCACTGCTCTCTAGGTTTTCATGAGCTGGTTCGTGAAAATAACATCAGCAAGAGGTGCAAAAAGCACTAAGCCTCAAAGTACACGCACCACATTGTTTGATTTGTTTGTGAGTAATTTGTGTTGACACCACATCTATCACCGCGCAGTATCCAAACTAATTTGAATTATTTGTGAAATCAGGAGCAGGTAGGGAACCGTTTTTTCTTTGTCTTTTCCTCCTGACAAATACCAGTTGTGCAAATTGTGCAAATATATTTGAACAATTTGAATATTTGAATAGATATCCTGTATATATATGTATATATTAGAATTTTTTTCAAAACTCTTCCATGCCTGACTGACATTTGTATAGGAGTCAGAATCAGAAAAAGACATACTCAGTGCTAAGAGAGTTGCACGAATACTCAAAGCGCACATGAAGGCACTGCAGGAGGTCATTAGAGCAGCTGAATACAGACCATCACTATTCTCTGGAGTCAGATGGAGACTCTAATACATTTACTGCTAAAGCAGTGGCGCAGCTGCTTCTTCCTTCTTGATCGTCATGCGTTTCCAAGGCTAAAGCAGATAGCAAATGATCCACCAGACCTTATTTAAATGATGTAATGTAACAATGACCTGGAAGTGTTGATGTCAGAAACCAGGTGGCTTTAAGATCCAACTGTGACAGTGATAATCAAAAACAGCCTGCAGCGTTCTTTTTCTAATTACTTTTTAAAAACCAGCTACACATTCTTCAAAAACTGAAAAAAAGCCAACAAGCAGACTCTCTACATGATCTGCAAACAATCACAAGTCACACACAGTGAAAATATGGTCCCTGTCCACCATGTTTAGTTTGTGTGGGTAGCAGAGAGACACATTCACAATGCATCTTACTGTACACTTTGGCAGATGCATCCATATTGTTATAACTGTACAGATAATTAATTCATAAAGCTCCGGATGGAAAGAATACTGGAGAAGGGGACTCAAGTAATTCAGGCTTCATCGCTGCTCCTTGCTGTCCTGGATGTTCAGATCGGAATTTTTGCATCTGAATTTGACTTTTAATGTTTTTGGGTTGTCTGTCCATCCCATTCTCATGAACAAGATATCTCAGTTATGAACTGATTAGATTTTGGTGGGCAAAGGTCAAAGCTCAAGGTCACTGTGACCTCACAAATCACATTTCTGGCCATAGCTGGCAAATTAATGCATTAATTATGACACAATTTGACACAAATGTCTATAAGGATAAAATGAAGTGATGACATTTTATATCCAAATAGTCAATGGTAAACTTTACTGTGACATCATAATGTTCTGCAAAAACACTTCTGGCTATTATTCAATGCTGTAGCTCAGGAAGGAGACATAGTGACCATATTTCCTGTAACTTGCCTGGTTGGTGGAGGCGTACAACCGTGAGGCGGTGATTCTAGTTACGACTGAACTGTGTGTGATTGAAATAGAGCAAGGACATAGCTTTTGAATATCAGGCACATTAAAGGTGCACTATGCATTCCTGCATGACGTCACTTCTGTTGACATTCGAAGTAAATACCGAACAAAACAGAGCAAGCTCGCCCCCCCCCCATGTTTGCATCGGACTGGAAGCCCTTCTGCCGGCGGAGTTCTCGCCACCTTTGAATTGATTCCCCAATATAAATGCAGGTCTTCGTTCATTCCTTCTCCATTTCTCTCCTCCTCGCCATATATTCATCCCAACGTCTTTTCTTTGGTCGTGTCCGTGCCTCGGCCATTTCCCAAAATATATCGTTGAGTCGTTAGACCTAGTTCAGGGCGCCATCCAGCTATCTACTCTCAGATACTCACGCTACTCTATCAACTCTGCTCACTGCCACAGTGTATTGAGGGGGCAGGCAGCTAGAGGATTAAGGGGAGATGCCTATGATTTTAGACAAAAATAAAATCGCGCTGAAACCATGCAGGAATGCATAGTGCACCTTTAATTCTCTATCTGACTTTGAGAACCTTTAATAAATACATGTGGGAAAGTTTTTCAAAATGCAGAATGTTGAAATTAACATTTCACTAAGTGAAATTCAGAACTCGTGAATTCAGAAAGTTGCTTTTCAAAGTCAAATATTTGAGGAATAAATCCAGAGGCATTTAAATGTCAACACTAAATATTCAGCAGTGATTAAATTTCAAAATTTGGTATTCAGTTGCTGATCAAAATTCAAATCTGTTGAGTGTTTGTTGGGCACTGTCTCACCAATATGATAAATCTAATATTTTTCTTTCTAATTGGATAATATTTTTGTTTCTAATGACATGGACTGCAGCCTGTATTTTAAGGTACAGAGGAGGTCAGGGTTTTATTTCTTTTTTCCTTGCATGGGCACAAAACAACAATAGCCTCAGGTTGTGTCTGAGTGAAAATTTGAATTAGTTTGTCCAAGCAACTGAAACCACCAGAACAGCCCAGCTTTAGTCTATAGAGGAAGTGATTGGAGAGAACACCTGAGGCCATTTGAGATGACTTGAAAACTGAATGATAAACTTGTGCAGGTAATGAACAGCAGAGAGTCTACAGGGTGGCTGAGGGCAGCAGGGAGCAGATCTGTTGATGACTTGAAATTAACATTTTGGTGAAATGACAATAGCCACAGGTTCATCAGCAGAGACCCCCCCCCACACACACACACACACACACACACACACACACACACACCTGACTTCTTTCTGGGACTACACACATTCCAGTTTTTCACACTGTGAAATATTGCACATTCCCCCTTTTCCACATTTTTATTGTGAATATTTTATTGTTCATTTTCTTTCATTTATATTTACACTATCTGACCTGCTGTACTCGCTTTGCTTTATCTCTCTTTATATTTTTTTCTTCTTCTATGTTTAATGCACCGAAACACCAAAGCAAATTCCTCTTATGTAAAAACCTACTTGGCAATATAACTGATTCTGATTCTGAAAAAAAAAAAAAACACTGGGTCATTTCTTATAACTTATTCTGAACAAAAAGTAACTTTCACTTTTTTGGCACAGCCAGACTGACTGTCCTGTTTGCCTTTGCCTTGGTAGCAAAGGCAAAGGGAGGCAAAGTAATCTGACAGACTGTAATGAAGGCACTGCAGGAAAACTTTAGTGTCTGACTCATGGAAAAGAGCCTTTTACTGTCGAGGACTTTGCCACTAAGTGTTCTGCAAGTCATCATGATGCACCTTTACGTGAACATTATTGCAAAGGCAGATTCGTGTCCAGGAGTTTAGTCGATGCATTCATTAACATCATTTAGTTTAGTCTCTGCTACAGTCATTTCTGACAAATGATTTGCATAGTTGTCTTCCTGCAGTGGTCAGTATTTTGACTTGCAATCCACATGATCATCTTGTTGTGATGTGGTCTTTAATAAGAAATAAAACAAATGTTTGTTTTTGATTTTTATGTTTTCTTTTTCAATTTTAACAAATAGATTTAAAAAAAAAAAATAGCTGGTGGAAGTGAATCTAATTACACTTGCTTATCACCAGGTTTTCCTCTGCACGGTCATGTATCATTCATGGGGCAAACATTGTGTGGGGACCTCATAAAAGTGATGCCTTGCTGTGTCAACTTTGCAGACACGCCACTATTTTATTTTTAGTCCAAATTCTTTGGCTAGAGTATCAGCAGCAGCAGGAGATGTTATGACCTGTAAGGCTCCTGAAATACAAGTGACTACAATGTTCTTTTGGAATATAAGCATTTAGAGAAGCTTTTGTTTCATTATATGTGCAAAGACATGGAAAATACATGCTGTCAAGAGCTAATGAACAGTTACCGTATGCATTAATTAAAGAGCCAGCACTTAAAATCCTTGAAGGCCTCATGTGGCGTTCAAGTAACGTGGTAAAATTAGAAACTAACCATTTTGTGAGTCTCACGGCTTGAATATAGATGAGGCAACCTGCGTTCTTCAGAAGTTTGCATCATCCAGTATGTTTAGCCTGTTGAAATATGTAAATATACACATATGAATAATAGTGTTAATGTGTTTTTGTATGATGTTGCGTTTGGCAGGTGACTGGCTGGCTGGAATACCACCTTTCTCCTTCTCCTTCTGAGGACATCCCATTCCAGGACCGGTCTTACCCCCTCCCCCCCAGCATGGAGCCCACCAAAGTCCAGTCAGAGGGTGGCCTCAATGTCACCCTCACCATCCGCCTCCTCATGCATGGAAAAGTAGGCAGGCACAGAGTCTTATACTGGCTGTGTGAGAACTAACATATGGGGAATTTATCTTCATTTTCAGGGGCCTTTAATTTGTTAATGATCTTTTAAACAATCGGTTGGACTTGCTGGGAATAAAAAATGGCACCTTTGGTGTTTAGGATGAAGGAGCTGGCTCTACTGCTTCCAGTAGAGCTTTTCAGTCTCTTCAACATTTACATCAGTGGTTCCCAACCTTTTCCAACCCGCGGCCCACCTAAAAATCTCAAAAATGTTGGCAGCCCACATCCGACCTCATAACAATACGGAGGCCAAATAATGCCTCCTCAAACATTTTTCATTCTAATGATAATGATCAAACATTTAGGATTGAACTGAAAGCAGGGAAAACATGTAGGAAGCTCAATTTTTCTATTTAGTTTGACAGCGGGGGATCACTGTTCAATTCACCATCTGTCTCTTCACTCTCTTTCCTTTTAATTCTTCCTGTTGCTGACCAGCTGTCCACTTTGATTGTCCAGTTTTTTGCCTTGGATGTCATCTTTTAGCGCGCCATCAGGCTGAGATAGAAAACAAGTATACGGCGTGATCCGGCTGGTGACAACATAAAAGTTCCTATCATTGGTTTATCACAGTTACAAGCCTCAATATGAGAAAAAGAAAAGAAAAAAAAAAACCTTTCACCAATCCTTTCACAGTCCACAGTGAAACTGGCTAAGACTGTATGATTGCAATTTTACAGAGGTGGCACATTGGCGCTCTCTGCTCTTCATTAAGTTGCAGCACTTGTATTTAGCTTCCTTATGTCCATTCAGTAAAGTCCTTCACTTTACTGAAAGGTTATTTGGAGCCCTTACAAGTAAAAACTCAAGACTTAAGGAGTGACGGGCTTCCTCTGCAGTGTTCCTCTGCTTTCGACTCTGCTCAGTGTTTTTTCATATTTCTCAGGGTGTAGTCTATAACCTTTAAGTGGGCACCAACATCTTGCCCATGCTTTTTTTTCAGGCACTTATGTGTAGTGCTCTCTCATCTCATCTCATCTCAACCCCTACTCTTTAAGAGGTTGTCAGAGTTAGTGTGTGTATGTGTGTGTGTGTATGTGTGTGTGTGTGTGTGTGTGTGTGTGTGTTGGCCTGCTTGTGTGAGATCATTCATGCTTGATCCAGGTGGGGGGGGGGGGACTATGGCAGCGTGACCCACATCTGTCCTCCACAGCAGAAACTGAGCGGATATTGGGTGAGCATGGTGTGGGCGCAGGTACCCTGCCAGCACCATCCCTTCGCACTTCACCCCCGCTCATTCAAATGGGCTGTAGACTGCTCCCCAGACATGTTTCTACCAGACTCGCCCAAAGCGCCTGCCTGCCGCTTCCACTCCTCCACACTTCTGTTTTGATGTCCAGGACATCTGAAAGATTTTGTGGTGGACTCGGTCGTGTGACAAGTGTTTCTAACTTCCCCTTTTATCTAGGCAGAACTGGTTAGCACAGGACATACAGTATACATCCACACTGAGTACACCCATGTGAAATATTACAAAAATGTAGTTTATAGTTATTTACAATTACTGTAAACTGTACCATCTTACAATAATTGTATTGTTTTTTAAATTTAAATGTAGGGTATTTGATCTTATGCATAATTAAAACCTCAATGCAACAGCAGTGATTGCCCCTGTGGCTCAGCCTGGGTTGTGTCTAATGCAACATAGCTCCACATGGTGAGGAACTGCCAGAACAAGACAGAAATCAGACTGTGAGACTTCATCAAGATGGGAGGGGGAACAAGAGGATCAGTGGGCTACTGAACATGAGTTGAAAGAGAGTTGCAGCAGTGGTTAGGGGGTACAGGAAGAGCCATACTACCAATAACAAATGATGCCACGTACACTTCACTATTTACACAACTGTGCTTTGAAGAGCAGACTGCTTCTAATTTAGCCCGAGTGTGAAGGACACCGCATGACGTCAATCTGCAGGGACAACATCCAAAAAGAAAAACCATTGCTCACTGACAAACTGCAAGATTAAACTTTGCATGTTTGAAAAGAGGCCTGATGAATTTTGGCAGCACATTCTTTGGTCAGATGAAACCAAATACAGCGTGTTCGGCGTGGACTTGGACAGGATCACCACAGTGACTGCATAGTGCCGACAGTGACACACGGAAGCGGGAATGTGCTGATACGGGGCTGCACGAGTGCAAACGGTGTAGAAGAGATGACATTTATAGATGGTCCACAAATACTGAATGAAAGGAAGACTCCCAGTCTCACGATGCTTGGCAGGAGAGGAAGATGCTGGACGACAATGATCCCAAACACACTGCAAAACTCACAGAAGCATTTCTAAAGAAGAAAGAAGTGAAAACTTTGATCTGACCAAAGTCTGTCCTCTGAATAGAAGAAAAGCTCTGAAGTATTTTAAAGCAGAAGGGGGAGAAACAAACTCCAGCAAAGAGCAGCTGAAAAGAATCATCTGTGAGGAAAGACAGAACATCTCTCCAGAGTTGTGTAAGACTGCAGTCATCCATGTCCGGGAGGATCGAATCTGTCATCAAAAAGTGGACATACAAAATATTAAAAAGTAAAAGAATGGAATCTCACTGATGAAGAGTGTATGGACTTTTGATGCAGATGGTGGCTAAATATCAGTTTGGTTGTAGCTGTTTGTGAAACAGGAGTCCTCCTTAAGTTTTCCTGTGTTTTCCCAGGTTTTGGTTGTGTGTTCAAAAATAACTTCAGCAGTAAAAAGTGCATCTGATTGGATTCGCTGAAGCAAAGTTTTAGACGCCAGTGATGCCTCGTTGTTTAAGGACCTTGAACAAAGAATATTTGAGGGTAACAACCAGGCATCTGTACTGTGAGGCTTTACATACTGTAGTGCTTGATAGATATAAATGGATGGTTAGGGGAAAAAGCTGGCTCTGAACAACAACTGGCCTGCAGCTTCGACATCACAATGGATGTGACCCTCACAGTAACAGAGGAGACGTCAGGGACTGTTGCCGCTGGCAGCCAGCGCTGCCCCTCTGCTCCCTCTGCACTGTGCCACGCCAAGCTCATGAAGAGTAATTACATGCATATGAAAAGCGTGGCCCTCGACACCGACATGTAGCTCAGCGTCCTCTGGATGTCCCTGTACTGTTCTACACCTTATCCAGGAAAAACAACAGTGAGCAGTTTTAATACTGTACATTTATGCAGGAGATTCTTTAAGGTGATTGTTTTCTCTTTTTCGTGCTTTATTGCAGGAGGTCGGAAGTATAATTGGAAAGGTATGTCTGTTTATTCGCTCACACATGTTTATGTCCATACTCATACTCACACCATGCTTGGGTTATTTTTGGATTACTGATTTGCTTTTTTTTTTTCCAGAAAGGGGAGACAGTAAAAAAGATGCGAGAAGAGGTGAGTTTCAGTATTTAGAGGCATCTTTAATTTATTAGATACCACAAAGAAATGATAAAAAAGTAAATAAGCAATACAAAATATCTTGAAATTAATGACAAACTCATGACACAGACTCAGATTTGGTCCAGATGTATTCCAGGATTAAGGTCTCTCATCACCTATATATATATTGACTCCATGTGTGTTGTTTCTCCAGAGTGGAGCACGAATCAATATTTCCGAAGGCAACTGTCCGGAAAGGATCGTCACCATCACCGGACCAACAGACACCATCTTCAAGGCTTTCGCCATGATTGCCTACAAATTTGAGGAGGTAGATGATTAGTGGCAGCATTTTGTCTGTATCATGTAAAATATGCACAGTATGGTGAACTTTAACAGGCTGACATTTTTAGCTCATGAGACACATGCACTGATGAAGTCCAATAGGATTTCCAGACCTTTGTTTGCACTCTGTCTGCGCAGACGAAGACTCCAGACTCCAGGGTTTATTTGTGTCGTCTTAGATCAGTGTTAACTGTCATTTCATTTCCAACAGTTATTCTGCAAGCTATAAGTCTCAGTTTGAAACAACTGACACCGGGATCTGCCTGTGTATTAACAGACCGCAACTTAGCTTGTATAATATTTCCATTTCATATCTAGTTGTTGTCGTAAATGAAAATTTCTTTGTGAGATTTTTCTCATAGGGCACAGACATGCATAAGACTCACAGTACGTCTTTGTGACAGTTATCGGTATCGCTTGGTTATAATAGCTGAATTTAAATCATCTTCTTTTCAGCTATCTCTCCCTCTGATCTGACGTCTTTGATGTCACTCATCTAATTGAGTCACTCATCCACTGGGACCGGGACTTGTAAGATGAGACCCACTGCTGTGTCCGCTGTGACCGGTGTAAAATGTGCTCGACTTGACCTCGTTATTTACAGGGAAACCTTGCTGCTCTCCTCAGGCACGTTGAGAAAATATTACCCTTGCAAAATAAACATTACATGTTCTCATTTTTTCAGGACATAATAAATTCCATGAGCAACAGCCCAGCGACCAGCAAGCCCCCCGTCACCTTAAGGCTTGTAGTGCCAGCCAGCCAGTGTGGCTCCCTCATAGGAAAAGGAGGCTCCAAAATAAAAGAAATGAGAGAGGTATGATATGGACTTTTTCATGGATAACTTATCAATTACTATACAGATGTAAGAGTCTGACTTTTTCCAGTTTAACCTTGTTTCTTTATGAAAGACAAACAGAACATGTAGTGCAGCCAAATGGTTTTGGTGACACTACTATGTTCTCTTTGACCATTCAACTCCGGGTGAAGACACTTTGACATTCTTATTTGCTTTTTCAGCCAATCAGGACGGACTAACTGGCCGCACTCACTAAAAGATATTTATATGTCTGTCATAAGCTGTGACTTGAGAGGTGGCAGGGTGACGTGGTTGGAGGGCTCCAGTAGGAGTGCGACTACAGTGCGTAACCTAACCTTTGTTCTGTGTCACACAGGTGTTGTCCTGGAACGGGATCTAAAAGCTTGAGGGTGCAAAGTCAGATATGTGCTCCAGCTATGGGAGGCTTAAGGAGCACACACAAAACACACATGGGAATCAACAGGCTACACAGACGGGTGGCAACATCTACAGTCTATAATCAAGACTGAAGCCCCATTCAGACTGCATTTATTTCTCTAGGGGAGGTGGGGTGATTTTAACATGACATGCTGCTGGTCAACGGTTTTCATCCCATACAGAGGATACATGTGGGTCATGTTTCAACGCCACCCCAGTAATAATTATAGTCGCCATTTCCTATTGTTTTTTTTGGTGAACCCACTAGTCCTCCGGTAATTTAAATCCAGCCTGGAGCAACATTCTTATATTTTAAAGTGGATCTCTGAGGTTTTTCTCTGTGAAGAGCCGCTGGTCCATTTTTTTTTTTTTTTTATCAGCTCAGTGTTAACTTTTACTTTTGTGTGAAGGTGGAAAAAGTCAGAATTGTTTCTGCTACTCCGATAGATGGAAACATCTAATACACAGGCCTATTTCAGAACCAATATGATGGTAGTATAAATTAAAGCTATCAGCAGAGCAAGCCCCCATAAATGTGCCGTTGTAATGTCAGCTACAGGGAGGCACTGGTATTCTACTATGAGCCACATTTTTTTTTTGCATATATTTGCTTACAGTTTCAGAAATGGGCTCCATTAAAAGTATCCTGAATTAACTGTTAGCAACTCTTGTTTGCAATGTGCCCATTGATGTCCAAGCAACTATCACTGAATTACTTTCATAAAGAAGAAAACTTAAGAACCTGATGATTCTGAGGCGAGTTCAGAGCCACCTTTTTTTCTGTGATTTCTAAGCACATTTATGTACGTTTATTTGGGACGAACATCGGAGATAATGATGTCCTCGGGAAGTGTTTATCACACTGAATGATATTAATAACTGTCTCATGTCTGTGTGTGAAGATTTGACTGAGTGATGACTCTCAGAAGGAGCAGGATTTTTGACTCAAATTTACCTCACACATCTGCTCCCTCACGTCTCTCCCTCTGTGGCTCCCATGCCTCTTTCAGCTTTGTCCTGGTGAATGTCCATACCTGTTACACACCACATCCAGTAATTCACCAATGGTTAAAATGCTATCCTGAACAATTTGTTAAATTACCGAAGAGCCCACTGAATTTTTCATACCCCACCTCCCCCTGTGCTGTTAATCCTGTCCAAATGGGGCTTAAGAGTCTCAGGCCATGCTAGTGGCTCTGTGAGGCTGTACTTAAGCACAGCTGTGATTTTTGCTTTACTTTTTAACTTCTACTGTCAGCATGCTAACATGGTCTGATGGTTGATTTAAAAAAGTAACTGCTCTCAGTCTAATAATCCTATTTGCGCTGCCAACAAGTGCTGACAACATGCTTCTTCCACACTCAGTGCAGCAGCGATGTATAGGCTACCAGCACAGTACAAAGCTACATCACAGTTATGTGTGGTCACGAGTACAATAGCTCACACTGTGATATTGGGTGTGGTCAGAGGTTCATGAAAACTCAAATCGTCTGGGACGTGTGCACCGAATTTCATGGCAATCCATCCAATAGCTGTCCAGACTCATCAAAGTCAGTATGATTCATCTGGGAGCTACGGATGTTTAATGGAAAAAAAATCAAATAATTGTTGGGATATTGGAGTGATGGATTGACCAACTAACATTGAACATAATCTGTTGAAAAGCTCCACTGCTGAAAGAGGAGAGTGCGTCATTCCTGCCTTCAGGATGAAGTCTGGAAAAGCAGAATATTTGGAGCTAAAAGCAGAGGCCTGTTACTCTGCTCCTGAAGTCAGCATGTTGCCCTCCCAGATGGTCCATCACAAGCAGCTTATCAATCGTGGTGCTTTTTCAGATGCTTAGAAAGTGTTGATACAGGGACAGAGTCTTTTATACAGTCTGCACTATGAAGTATGGGTTGATCAATAATGATTGGCAGAATGAGTACTTTTCAATTTCAGTGTGCTTCCCGGTGGAAGTGAGCGCCTGTAGGACCCTTTAGAGCACTGCACAGCCTTGTATGAGTTCAAATTGAATCCTTTCGACATCGTCAAGTCTCTTTAAAATTCTCTCGTCTACTCCAGTCCACAGGGGCCCAAGTTCAGGTGGCGGGGGACATGCTGCCCAACTCCACAGAACGTGCAGTGACAATCTCCGGGACCCCAGAAGCCATCATCCAGTGTGTCAAACAGATCTGCGTGGTAATGCTGGAGGTAGAGTATGACAAGTTTTAGCAAAGCTGTTTGAATTTTAATGCTAATGAGATTTAAGAATTAAGTTCTGTTACACACCTTAGGAAAACCTCTGGGTTGTGCTGCATTTCTTGCTAGAAACTCATGCAGTCATGCACCTTAAGTAACACATTTTCACAGGAACTAAATGTTTTATATTTGCTTCAGAAAAAGAAAAAAAATGTCAGTCTATGTCCAGGTCAAAAACACCTGGCAATTGATGTCCATAAATGTCAACTTGACAAGCAATCTGCTTGTGTACTAGATGCCCTAAAAGGGAAATATGTGCTCTGCTGTGTACTTTCCATTTTGCTGCTGAGTATCATGTAAATACCATTTGGAAACATTTTTGCATATAGCTCTGCAACAGAACTGTCAGGAAGACATCTGTGAAGATCTCAGTTATCCAGTTCATCCAAGAAAACTTGAATCGAGGGCAAGTAGACTTGATTGTAGATACTTGAGGGCGTTTCACCTCTCATCCAAGAGGCTCCTACAATTTCCTGCCAGGAAAGCCCGGGCTTGTTTGTGCTACATTAAGAACACCATAGCTGTGTCTTGTATTTGAAGCACACACCACACATAAATGGATACTCCTCCCACTACAGCACAGCAGCTACAGAGGAAATCTGATTAAGCCCTCTGCACTGTCTTGAACAGCCTTGTTTCTGCAGCACAGCATGAATCAATAACTCTGTATCGTTATGGTAAGCTTGCAAACTGGAACTCCTCAGCTTCCTCACTGAAACCACCTGCCTGCCATCTTAGAAAGAAAAGCTTAGGATACTATATATATTATCATGTTTCACTCATGCAAGGTCTTATTGTTCTATTCTTTTGTATTTTATATTTTGAAATTATTATGTATTTTTATATATTATATTTATATTTTCATATTTTAAAGAGATAGTTTGACATTTTGAGAAATATGCTCATTCGCTTTCTTGCAGAGAATTAGATGATGATCAACTGCACTCTCTGTTTAAATATCTCTTTATGAAATATGAAGCTACACTCAGCAGCCAGTTAGCTTTGCTTAGCATAAAGGCTGGAAAATGGGGGTAACAACTAGCATGGCTCCGTCAGGAGGCAACAAAAACCACCTACCAGCATCTCTAAACTTCACTCGTCAGCACAGTATATCTCTTTTTTTTATGAAATGCTGTGGTTTTACATAATGCTGGGAACAGCAGAGAAATAGACATGATATGAGAGTCTTCTAGCACATTTTGTTACCTTCAGTCAGAGCTGGGCTAGCTGATAGCCCCTCTTTCCAGTCTTTATTACAAAGCTAAGCAAATTGGCTGCTGGCTGTAGCTTCATATTTCATGAACAGATCTGAGAGTGGCATTGATTTCTCTTTTCATCTAACTCTCAGTTACCTCTAAGAGTCAGGCTTGCTGTTTCCCCTTCTCTAGTCTTTATGCTAAGCTAAGCTAACATGTTTGGCGTACAGACATGAGAGCAGTGCTGTTAAATGAGTATTTGTCTTTTTCAAATACAGTAGGACCACAGTCTGCCTCAGATTGACTCTGCGTCTTCTCTCTCTTCTCTTTCTCCTAGTCTCCACCAAAAGGTGCCACCATCCCTTATCGCCCAAAGCCGGCCTCCACCCCAGTTATTTTTTCTGGTGGCCAGGTAAGAGCTGAGCTAGCTTTAGCTCATTAGTTTGTGCCTACAGCCAGCCTGACACTTTTACTGCAGCATCAGCCACTGCCTGTTACTGCAAGCCTCTTTACTTTCTTGCACTCTTGCATACCACCGCAACAATTTTACCAATGAGGCTGCCCTCATTGGAAAAATTACAGCATTAATTCTCGGCTCAAACTCTAAAATTTTACATTTTTCTGACAAGCAGCTGTCCACTCTCAGTAGCAAGGGCAGGAAAAGTGTAACATTATTATACTGCCACAGAAAATCTCAGGGAGGTTGTCCGGGGTCGGTTTGATGTGTGTCCCTGTCTCCTACTAGCAGTCGCTGTTGGTGCGCACACAGCAAAGTGAGGGAGTCAGGGAGCTGTACCTGTAAGCATCCTGATGTTTGATTCAGCAACAATGACATTAGCCTCAGCAAGAATGCAGGGCACACGATAATGTCCGTCCAGCTAATGTAGATAATTTAGTTGCGATCTGGGCTAAAAGCTTTTGAATGTATTTTAAAATTTTGCAATATAATAGATTAATATTAGAATCACAACCCATTACTTGTAATGATTTGAAATTGGGAGCTTGTCTTTTGTCTTAAAATCATATCCAGCAGATGTTGGAGTGGAACATCTAGTGGAACATTTAGTGGTAAGGAACAACTGAGCCTTTGTACGGCATTAAAAGCACAAGCCAGTTTTGGAAAATTTAGAAGAATAAATAAACCCAGAGAGGGTGTAACACAATTCGTACAAAACTCCTGTATAAATACTACCTCTGCAAAGCTTATATTGTTCAGTTTTGTTGAGACAGTGAACAGTGTGGTTATTTTTGAAGCTGTGGTTTTTGATGCTGTCACTTTGGATTGCATCACACTGTGCAGATGCTCCCGTTATTGTGTTCACTCCAGTCATTTGGTATTTGAATGTGATGCATGTACACAAAATATATTGTTTAACTTCAATTTATACAGATTTATAATTTGTACTGAGATTTTAAATGATGGTGATTGGTTTATAGACTTGAATTAATGAACTGAAGATGAAACCTAAGAACCAAAGATGAGGAATCATGACAAGGCTGAAAGGTGCCTCCACTGCCACTACATTTTGATTCCTGTGCACTGATATAATGTAGTACATACACTCACCGAGCACTTTATTAGGAACACCATATTAATACTGGGTAGGGCCTCTCTTTAGCCTCAGATTCTCCTCCATCTTGTCATGACTGCATCACATCATTTCTGCAGATTTGATTCTAAAGGTGTGATTCATATCTGGTGACTGGGGAGGTCACTGAAGTTCACTCAACTCATTGTCACGTTCATGAAATCAGTTTTAGACGACTTTTACTTTGTGGTTGTGATGGTGCATTATCCTGCTGGAGGTAGCCATTATAAGATGGTAAGCTGTGGCTATAAAGGGAAGCTAATGGTCAACAACAATGCTCAGATAGGCTGTGATACTGAAATGGTTATTGATTGGTATTAAGGGCCCAATGTGTGCCAAGAAAACTTAAATTCCCCACACCATTACACCACCAGCAGCTGCCTGGACTGTTGACACAAGACAGGTTGGGTCGATTTGGTTCATGTTGTTGATGCCAAATTCTCACCCTATCATCTGCTGCCTCAGCCGAAATCCAGCTACGTTTTTCCAGTCTTCAGCTGTCAAGTTTTGGTGAGCCTGTGTCCACTGCAGCCTCAGATTCTTGGTGTTCTTGGAATCTGACATGGTCTACCGCTGTTGTCGTTCATCCAACCAAAAGTTTGACATATTGTTCGTTCTGAGATACAGTTGTAAAGAGTGGTTATCCAAGTAATTGAGCCTTTCTCTCAGTTTGAACCATTCTGCTCATTCTCCTCTGACCTCTCATCAAAAGGTTGTTTCTGCCCACAGAGCTGTCACTCACTGGATGTTTGTGGCTTCACTCTAAAAACTCTGGAGACTGTTGTGAGAGAAAATCCAAGGAGATCGCCATTTTTCAGAAAAACTCAAACCAGCCTGTCAGAAACCAACAATCAAAGCCACTGAAATCCCATTTTTTCCTCATTCTGATGTTTGATGTGAACATTATCTGACCTGTATCTGCATGGCTTTATGAATTACACTACTGCCACATGATTGGCTGATGGGATAAATACATGTCGGTGTTCCTGCTGAAGTGCTCAGTGAGTGTACACGGATCTTGCTTGCCAGTCATGGAACTTTTATGATCATTTGTGCATTGATTTCTTATATACAGTAATCAAACACTGATTTCTTGGATGTACAAGGTCTGACAGCACTTGATGTTCACTTACATATCACATGCTGTTTATGTTCCTGCTTTAAATATGGTAATAATAAGTGTGATTAAGTAAAGATCATTCACTGTAATTTAATTTACTGTTTACAATAAATTTGCAATCAGCATGTTTTTTATAGTTGTTTGAGCTAAACTGTGAATAAGGTTTCTACAGACTTAGATTGTACAAGTTGATTTGTTCTTCATGTGATGTTATTTTCCCCTTTTAATAGATATAAGATGCTGAAATTTGCTATTTCTCATATTTTTTCATCTTTCCAGGCCTACACAATTCAGGGACAGTACGCCATACCACACCCAGATGTGAGTTCCTAGTTTCTTCTTAATTTAATCAAATAATTATATCTGTATCTTAAGTATTTATATAATCAAAAATGGTAGCAGACAGCAGCTGAAGTTATTAAGAGGCAAGTCATAAATCAGGACTTCCAAAATCACTGTCTTTATACTTTAAGGCTGAACTGCAGCTCAACCACTGGAACGACCTCTTGCACCGATCTGGTTGATAACAAAACAGTAACTTCTGGTAATAATGACAGAGGCAACGTCAGAAACGACAGCTTTTGATGTAGACACCCCTTTAATTCCAGTGGATCATAGTCTCCATTAATAATCTGCCTTCATCTGTCCTTGTCATGAGAGCATCTCAGAAGCTACCTTGTGTCAGATTCACTAATTCAGAGTTGGGCAATGATTGATGCCAGTAGAGGTGGTGGTTGACGGTACAATCACTCAAGTGCAGGCTTGACACCCTCTTCCACCCTCATTTAAACTCCTCTTAAAAGGAGAAGAAGGCTTGAAAGCATCCGTCTTCCCCCCATTCCTGATGGAAATGATACACAGCAGGGGGTGGACACTCTGTGACCATGTCAGGGGGTAAGTGGCTCCTCTGACAGCCATGCAAAACTAAAGGTTCCTCCGGTTCTTAGTTGTAAGTGTTAACCAGAAGGACACATGGTAGTAAAAGGGGGCAAATGGGAATGAAATTATTCCCCGCATTTGGTTAATGCACTCATGAGTGGAATTGTGTCTCTCTCTGTTTTGTAAATTAAAAAATGACTTTGCAGAATGTGAAAGTGGCAGGGAAATAGGTGAAAAAGAAGAATCAGAAAGCATCAAATTACCTAGCACTTTCACAAATCCATTACAGACAATCACCCTCTCTCCGTATCTCTTTTTCTCTTACTTTTTTGTCCTCCACCACCCTGTGTCATGGCCTCCTTCTCCTCACTGTTTGTTCACTCTAGTTTTGGTTGGGTTCATTTCTCGGTGTGACCTGTGTATCAGTAACCTCTTAGTTCTACTTTCCCTCCTAACCCTTCAGCAGTTGACCAAGCTCCACCAGTTGGCTATGCAGCAAACCCCCTTTACCCCTCTCGGACAGACCACCCCTGCTTTCCCTGGTACGTACCCACGAGGCCCTTTAGATAATTCCTTCTCTTTGCATCCAGAGAAATATTTTTTCTCTTTCCCTACCTTGCACCTTATCTCTCTCTTTTGGCACAGCATGACTTGGCCCCCATGGTTTCTCTCCTCCTTTGATTTTTTTTTCATGTATATTTTCTCTTGGCTCTGTCTGATTATATGCCAGTGAAACTCAAAAAAGAAAGAAAGAAAGAAAGAAAGAACTGACACTGGGCTACACTTTAAAACAGTTTATTCAAAATGTCATTATCTCTAGGTAACAGGGTACATCATTCTTCCCACACATATTTAGGTTGTTTTATTTTCCATTAAAGATGAAAATCTCCAGTGAGAGAGGTTGGCCACACTGCACTGTAATAACCAACTGAATATCTCCCACATCTGAATAGACCTTGGTACATACTGTATATTAGTCTGTCTGTATCATATCCTGAATATTTACTTATAAAACATCATCTGAAGGTCTCACAGTAATGTTCGCTTCTTTTTTTTCATCTAAAAGGATGTTTCAATTTCAACAAGTACATGGAATGATTTATTGAATCGACAAGGGTGTTCCAAAATGTTCTCTCTCTTTAACTAACATGATGTAGCTGTCTTTTGTTACATCCTATGAACAGTTTGATATTTTGGGAAATACACCTAATCACTTTCTTGTCAAGAGTTTAACTGGGAAGATCAATCGGTAGATTTATATTTAATATACAGACAGTGGGAGTGGTATCGATACTCTCATCTTAACTCTTGGCAAACAGGCGAATAAACAAATTTCCCAAAATGACAAAATATTCCTTTAAAAGGTTTCAGCTCTGTCAAACTGACTATTTAAATTCAAATCGCCTTTCTCATCCCATTGCTCTCCAACTCAGGTTTGGATGCCAGTCCACCAGCCAGCACCCATGAACTCACCATTCCTAATGATGTGAGTAATGCTAGAAAGGTTAGAAAAAAAGACATGTATGTTTCAGAAGTCTGTAGTTCGCAAATTATGTCTTTTACTCGGTATATCATATATAAATTCAACTGATGTTGAGAAGAGTTTTTACAGGGTGATTAGCGGCTTTCCTTGTTAATTAACTGATAAGGAAAATATTTGCAAATGGAGCACAGAGATAATCCTGTCTTTCCAAATTTGATTGACAACATTAACAACAATGATCTTCCAAACTTTAGTTCTTACTGTTGGCACAGTAGAGAACCCGCAATCACCTGAATTACTCACCATGCTATCATTAATCAAAATTAATTTCCAGAATGATGGGATTTAAATTATATACCCAGAAATTTCATAACCCATTACACTTCCTTTTTAACTTCAAATGTATTAGGCATTAAGTATAAATATATTAAAACAGCATAGAGGTTTCCATGCTTCATCTTCAAAGATTTCTGCTTTTTTTCAGTTAATAGGCTGCATTATTGGACGCCAAGGAACCAAAATAAATGAGATTCGACAGATGTCTGGGGCGCAGATCAAAATTGCAAATGCCATGGAGGGCTCGTCTGAGCGTCAGATCACCATCACAGGGACCCCTGCTAACATCAGCCTGGCCCAGTATCTCATCAATGCAAGGTAACCTTTTAACTCTAACTACTGGGCTCCGGCTCAATCTAAAACATAAAAGCAATACCCGAATGACCACGCTCAGGGTGAGGATCCAAGAAAACAGCTATCTGTGACACTTGTGCTGTTTGGAAAGAAGAAGTAAAAAAAAAGTATCTCGCCAGTTTAGTTTTGACATTCACAACACTGATACTTTGATGAGTTGCCAGAAAATACACGGTGGCTGTCAGGTTTTGACAAGCGACAGATAAGCCCATGAATAATGTGGCTATTCATGTTTTTACCCTGGTTGTTCTTTTACACATTTGTCCCTTATTTCCACCCAAGTGTAGACATTAAAATGCATGAAGTTTCTGCAAGCACAGTTTTTGCACATAAATGGCCCATGGGAACAAAGCCAAGTTGTGAGACAAGTGAGCTGTGTCTTTGAACCGAACCTGCAGATTAGTAAATTGGATTCATCAGATGTTCAAGGCCCACCTCAGTTAATGACCAAATTGTTCATGATGAATTTGTAGAACAACACAAAAAGATCAACAGCCTCATTAGTAACTAAGATTTTACGCTGGTATTTTTGCACATAAGCCTTTTATGTTATTAAATAAAGAGCAATTGACTCCAAGACAAAAATCTGTTGAGTATCTGGACTAAATAAACAGGGGCTATACTCTCTTACTGTTGTAGTTTTCATTTGAATTTTCTTGCCATGTTTTTTGCTATCGCTGTCTCTTTCTCCCCTTCATCCACTGAAACCGCTAATTCATCATCAGCAAAGAAAATAAATGTGTTATCCACATCCACTCATGCCCTCAGCCTACCTGCATCTCAAAGTCAAATGTTATTTTCATCAGAGTGGGAGAACCAATGTGCTCACAAATAGGACTTCATGTCTTTGACCTCTTAAGGGGATTTCACAGAACAGTCCACAGAGAAAAACTAATGTCTATTGCTTTCCCACAATTCCGATGGCAGGTTCAGGGACGTGGCTGCCATGTGGAATGACCCCTCATCCATGACAACATCCTGAAGTCACCCCAAATCTGGTTCTCTTTTCAGAAGCTAACACCAAAACCAGCGCTTCACAATTAACCACTATGTGTTGTCCCATGGAATTTCCCCTAGAGTCCCTTGGTTGTGCATAACACTTTAGCGTTAGCCTGCAGGAGACCTGTAGTAAAAGTCAGATTAACAAGAGTGGGATTTGTTTAAAATTGATGTAGCCAGTGTATTATTAAAAAACTAGTTTTACATTTTGGGAAATATAGTTATTAGGGTTTTATTTATTTATGTATTTATTTATTTATTTTTGGTTAAATTTAAATAAGTAGTTCAATACCACTCTCATCTCTGCCAGTTAACTACAAAGCTAGGTCCCGGAGATGGTCACCTTAGCTTAGCAAAGGCTGGAAACAGGGGGGAACAGTATGCTTGGGTCAGTGCAAAGGTACCAAAAAACCTGTACCAGCTCATTAATCAACATGGTGACTGCCTGGCAACTTCAACAAAACTCCAGGAAGTCACTGCTCTTGTCAGAGACATAAGCTTCAGGGGCTGCATCAGAGTCTTCATAGACTGTGAAGGCTGAACCAAAATGAAATGGTCTGGTCTGAAAGATTTCCACTTTGCGTCCTTACTGTTGCGTCGCATAGCACCGATCATGTCGCCTAGCAACCTTGACAGCACCTAACTTTTTTTATTATAAAAACTTGAGGTTTTAAGGCCCTTTGTTTTTTAACAGTTGTACGGTTAGCTGTTGGACTGATTTAAAAGTGTAATGTTCGGGTACTCTGTCAGCGTTTGCTGTCATTTTATACACACACACTGACTCTTGGGATAAGTTGGGGCCATGAAGGATCCACCCATTGGAGAGGAAAAGAAGACTGCATTTCTTTGCAGCCTTATTGCAGCCTTAGTAATATATATATATATATATATATATACAGTTTGGCACATTATGAAACCATGAGTCTTCATTTTTACTTTAGTTTTTATATGAATCAAAAAAACAAGCTCTAGTATACAAATAAGTGAGTTTTTAAGATGCTAGTAAGGATATTTTCTTAACGTTAGACAGCTCCAGGCTAGCTGTTTCTGCCTGTTTCCAGTCTTTATGCTAAGCTAAAATAAGCTAAAACATCTAAACCATCTCCTGGCTTTATCGCAGAGAAATGACAGTGGTATTGAACTTTGCAACAAAGCTAATAAGTGTACTTCCCAAAATATTGAACTACTCCTTTAAGTATTTATTTAGCATGCTTCATTCCAAAAATAATATGGTATTTATTTCTGTCATTGCTATATTAGATACATTTGCCTATCAAGTCCTATTGTGTCATTGTATAGAAAGAGTAAAATTAATAAAAAATGGAAAATTAAAAAAATAAAAAGCAAAGAAAAAAGACCGAACGCGTGTGCCACCGAGCAATGCTGTTAGAAGGAGTGATGTGATGCCTCTGTCAGGGAATAGCCTACAACAGTTTCTACATTGGATATTTCATGACACCATCATGTTTTTTTTTCAGTCCACTGCATGGCTTCATGAGGGGGTTAGTATTGCATGATTATTTTTACCATATTTTGAGAAGCTGAGCTGTTTTCTGTGAACGGGTACAATGAAAATATGGTGTAAATTCTGCGTAAAAAAAATGTCCCGGCAAATTCAAGCACAAAGCCATTGCAGCATAACTTTCACTTTCAAAGCGAAAGTTCTTCTTTCACAGTTGTTTTATTTTCTCTGTCTATCTTTCCCTCCCCCCTTCCCCTGCTCCTCCTCCACCCCGTCTTCCCCTGAACTGTTCTAGGCTGACGTCTGAAGTCACTGGAATGGGCACACTCTAATTTCTACCCATCTTCCCTCAGTGCATCACATGACCCTTAAGAGCTTATTGCATTGCACCTAGTTCATTTATTTATCTCTATATTGGACAGTCCTGATATTTAAGTGACTTTAACTTTTATAATTTCTAGTATCTACTGTAAACATGTGTATCTGCACTGTCACTAGGATTCTTCACGCCTAACTGAAACCGTGTTGTCTCTGTTTCTGAAAGGTCACTTTACTTTTTTGACACTCTAGTACCTTTCATGGCATCTCATGCGCTGCACTGCTTTGTTTTACCTCATATTTTAACACATCACTGTACCTTTGTTTTTGCTCTGCAGGCACCTGAAAGTATATGCAAAGTAAACCTAAAAATTGGTGTAACAATTTAAAAGAAGGTTGTCCCTTCTCCACACCACATTGACACATTTTTACTCCATATTTAGACTACTACAGACAATGCATTATTCAACACAAATCTTCAACAACTATAAACCTGATGCTTTTTTCAAGTTCATTTTACACTGACTTCAGGATTGATGAAATGAGTGTTTTACTGTGTGCCTGTGTGCCTGTCTTAGTGCCGTATGTACACCATAGATTGATCTGCATGATGCACAAAACCTATTGTATTTCAAATTCATTTTAAAATCAATCATGTAGAAGCAAAGACTGAATGGTGACAGGGAATTAAACAAGCCATGAACGGTCTTTTTATGATCCGTATGTGTCACTCTGACTCCAGTTTGAAAGTACCTCATGGATAAAGGCCAGTAAATATTTATTCCAATGCACAATATATGTGTCTCTCTGAGTTTCATCTGAACAGACAAAAAGGTTGGATGGAAAAATGAAAATAATTCAAGAGAATGACTACAGTGACGATTGAAATTCAAATGCATGCTATAAATGCACCCCCGTTTTATTCACATATATTCCACAAACATGTACTCATGTTATTCATTCATCTCATAGCAACAAAGTATAAGAGGCATGAGTCATTTGGAAAGGTCTGGAAATTGTCCAATGTATATTTGCACTCACATGTAGCTAGTAATGTCTTCAGTGTGTGTCAAAAGGGCTCACAAGCTCCTGGGAAGCAAAGACTCTCATTATTCAATCATGTCTGTTTTTCAGCTCCTTCCTGCTACAGTTTGGTAGGCTACAGAAAAAAATGTAGTGTTTCTGGTTAGCATGTATGAAACATTGGCATGTATAAAACATATCTTTTAACGTATGCATCTACAATGAACCAAGTCATTGGTTTTGCAGGCCTACTGTACATATACATGTATGTATGACTCCCACTGTACTCACCACCTACTGTAAGACAGTATCTCCGTAGTTACACCAGGCTGTATATCTGTTCCACCCAACTTGAGGCCCCGGTTGATCAAACTAAAGCTGAATGTATTTCAAAATATGTTTTAACTGCTAACATTTACATGTCATACAGGAATAAATCACCTTCAGTGGTGTCTTTTTAACCATGTACTTAAATGAGTACGGTATAATATGATGCAGAATGATATATAATGTAGAGAAGATTTTGTAAGGTTGGGCACTCAAACGGGTGTGTTACAGATTACTTATTTAAAATTGTAATCTACACTTTATTACATGAGATACATACAATGTTATGTAATCCGATTATTTTAGGTTATGTTGAATATAAAACATAAACTTAAACAACTAACTTTCCTGTATTTTCTGCAAACATATATGAATGGATGGCCTTACTAGTATCTGTAGCTGTCATTTCAAAATGCAGGCTATAAGATAAAGAAAAAATATATATACATATATATCACTCCACAGTAACACATGACACTCCAGATTTCAGGTAGCTACTATTTTAAATCCACATTACCAAACACAGTTACACATTTTACTCCCAAAGCCTGGATATGCATTACTCCAATACTAATCATAGACATAATGTTTAGGGAACAAAATTTGTGTCATTGCAGTTTAGGCTCAGGTATTTGGCTTTTGGCTAGCATTGATTATACATAGATTATGATGACTCAGTGATATGTTGTTGTTAAAACAAGGCTGCTTTACAGTTACTTGTACATTACAAGTAACTGTAAAGCAGTACATGACACATTGCTTCACATTTACATTGCAAATGTAAAATCTGTACATTAGCACTCCATATGTGTTTGAGATGAAATAATTGAAGACTGGCTGATTGAGGGCGAAAAGGTTTTTAAGGTGTCATTAAAAAATGTCCATTATCTACAGAATCTGATCATTAATATCTTCTTTAAAATGCATATTAATACTTGTGTTTGTAGGTTTAAGGTGTCTGCTGGTTAATGCAGGCAGGTCAGCCAAGATATAGTCATGCTATTTTACAGTGTGACCAGTTTGAAAATATCTCAGTTGCCTTTTTGACTGTCATACTTCTATCGTTCATACTCATGGCATTGCTCATGTTTCATCGACCCGCAATGCTGTGTAGGCCGAACACCTCTTTTGTTGCTTCTGTCATTTTAGTGATACATTAACACTTTTTTGTTCCTGTGCTAGAGCAGCAAAAAAATAAAGGTTAGCGCTGAGGTGATATAAATAATGCTGTTTGAAGAAATGTGTCAGACCATGTTTATGTTTGATCATTTGCTTCATGAAGGTCTGTATTGGATTTATTATTTATTGAGGTTGATTCTGAAATGTTTTGTAAAAAGAAGAGAATAAAGTTTGTGTTTTTCCCTTGATTGGACATCATTGTCATCTTCTTCAAGTTTTGTATTATTACAGAAACTCCAAAATATTGTTATAGGATATTTTTTTGCCTAGTGGCACTACCATCCTTTGTCTGGTGGAGTAACCGGATTAGATACTGAGTGTTTCAAAAGTTTCAGCTTCACTTTTATTCATTATCATTATTATTATTATTATTATTTTGTATAACACTTTTTAATTTCAAAATAAAAATGAAACGTTTATCAAATTTCATGGTGAAATGTGTATTTTTCAAAATAAATATTTAACATTTTACAGAATCAAACTTTAGGTATTGCTCATCTCATTCTGCCAACAGAGGATGTTCAGTGTTTCATGCATAGACTTTAAATGTCCATCATTACGTAAAGTCTATGCATGAAACACTAGCCTTCATGACATCACCCACAGGTTTCTGTAGAGCAGTTTTGAAGCTCAGAGTGGGCTGTTCTGCCATTGCCATCTTGGCAGTGCCTGACTCTGCCTAACTCCGAGCTAATCCAAACATAGGCAAAGAGGTGGGGCTTGTGTGGAGCTGAGACTTTGGTGCATGCTGGTTTAATAACTGTGGCAAGCATATGCTCCCCTATGCATCGTTAGCATAGCTGGGCGTCTTGCTCGAAGGCTGACCAGGGCCAATTTATTTGCTGGCTAATTAGCTGGTAAACAAGCTAAGCTCACAGGCCAGGCATGTTGACCGCAGACACTGATACCTGCTAAATGGCTAACATGTAAATAAAATAATACCAGAATTTGTCATCTCAAAAACAGGCTCTATTAGTCAACTAACTGTACAGCAAATCATATTATTTATTTGATATTTGCATGAAAGAAACTCCAGAAGGCACCAGCACCACAGACAAAGAGAGGTCATGTTCTAATTAGCTCAGGTGACGCAGAGCAGACAGCTAGCAGCTAGACACCTAGTAGCTAGCCAACAGTGACTGCACCCACCTGTCACTCAAAGCTGCCACACCCTCAATTATGCATAACCTTAAACTTTGACAGGTGAGTCATATAAAAATTCACCCCCCATACAGTTATAGAGATCCAAGCTGTTTTTTGTACCAGGCTGTGAACATGTTTACTTCTGCTGTAAAGTTGGGCATTTAACATGGGAGTCTATGGGGATCGACTCATTTTTGGAGCAAGCCTCAAATGGCCATTTGCCAAACTGCAGTTTTGGACAGTTCCGTGTTGTCTTCATTTTTTCAGCCCCAGAGGTTGCAGCTTGGTTTCATGACCACTACTGGCCCTGAAGGTCAACTTTGGCTTCAATTTGTCTGTGGTGCAACATCACCCACAGAGTATCAAGAGGGTAGTTTAAAGGATGTTGTATCTATTGAGTAATATACATGTGTATGAAGCCATTATGATTAAGCCAAAAGGAGGATTAGCTTCGGTTTGTACTGGTAGCTAATGCAAAGACATCGGCATGAGTGAATTATGATGGAACTTGCTTTTAGGATGCACTCAGGCTGCTTAATTTGGAGTCGAAAGAAGACTCTTTGTGTCTGTTGTGCATCAGCCAGAGAAAAGTGCAATAAGTACAATAATTTAGTTTTATTGTCTCTTACACCCACCACAGGGAGATTCACATTCAGTGCCAAAAGCAGTACTTTTGCATCATGCTCATGGACATCTCAGCAGGGTGGCATCACATGGGTGGTTTACACCTAGGTCTGTTCAAAGGGAGGTTTTCTAATGAATCCCACCTCATCACCAATGAGTAGATTTAAGACTGATTCCAAATAAGACCAAAATAACCCTGTATGAGGTCAGTTGGTTAATACTTCTGCTCAACTTAATGACCATTATGTGAAGGAAATAGCTGCAATAAATCTCTGAAATGCACGTCACAGACAGGCTTTATGGCAGTTAAGAAGGTAACTGATTTTCATTTCCATTAAATATGTGATTGACTCATGCACAAAGGCAGTGGTGTCCCACTGTGCCAAAAAATGCTCATAGCCATTCTTTCAATGAAAACTGGCTGGAAAGGTAGTTTTTTTGTAATCCCATAAGGCTTCTCATGGTGTTGTTGTTGTCACGCTTTTAAAGGTTTTTGGTTTGTTATCTGTCAGTGGAGCGAATCGGCCACTGTGTTTGGACCAAAAGTTTGCCTGGATGTGTTTCCATTGCAGAATGTCGGAATCTATAACAATAGAGAGGAATGTGCAGGGGGTCTGCAAAATACCAGGAACACTTTGCCATATGATGCAATCAATTGCAACATCAATGCAAATTACTACATTTATGAAGTTAATAATGCTGCATATCTTTTGTGACTCAGTTAGGGGTTGATACAACTACCTAACCAGTCCTTCCCTTCCCTGACTGTAAATTGACCACAGTTCTAATGCAAAGTGGAGGAAACATAAAAAAAAGCTCCTCTGTAAATGTTAGATCCATCTAAATGAGTCACTTCTGTTAACTGGACACAGCTATGGTCTGATATCAGCTGGAGTGTGTGCACACTAGAGACTGAGCCACAGGGGACGTCTGTGGCCACAGGCATGTTGCAAATTAACATTGTCCCTCTTCGGGGGTGGCAAGAGGTCACCTTGTGTACAGCTCAACCACAAGTCCTCACCGAATCTTTTATGGCTGTTAAATATGCCCATTTTAGACCAGCTCTTGATTGTGCTCCCAAAGTCCCTGATTGCATTTAGTAGCACATTAACTAAGTCTAAATAAGGAGAGTTAATCCCTGTGCTAAACAACTGATAACCTTGGCAGAACAAGAGGAAATGCCAAACTATTGGTTCTAGGAAGGTTTTAAAGATCATTGTGATTCTGCAATTATTCAGTAACTCCTTTGCCATTTTTTTGGAAGAATTGGTCAGACAGATTTATGTGAACTGTTCCTTTTACTTGGCTGCATCAAAGCATTGAAGGTTATTAGGTCCCTAAAATCCATTAAATCTATCATTTTATGAAATTAAATATATAAATAAATAAATTGTTGTTCTTTTCCTTTATCCTTGTATTTATTTGAATTTGTTTGACATGAGGAAAGGGAAATTAAACACACACTGAAAAATGTCAAGGAGGACTTATTTCCATTGTGGTCCTTTATTATAAAGTCTGGCACTTGAACATAATGCAATGAAGGCAGCAGCATAGTGGCTACAAACTTCCAAGTAGAATTAGCTAGCTAGCGTGTGCCAGCTAAAATCTTACCAATAAAAGAGTTTATGCACTGCAGCATATGGATGGTGAACAAATGTTATGTGGACTGGCTTGTAGTTTTATAACGAAAGTTAGCTTCAGCTAGGTAGCTCAAAAGGAAAATGCAAATAGTGAAAGGGTAAATGTGTGGGGAAAACAGCAGGTGTATGATAGTCAATGAAATGATTGGTGATAAAAGAAAAAAAAATTGCTTTTTCATTTCATTCCTTTTTTCTGGTTGGTCCGCAACAGCAGAGCCAGCCCTATTAACACAAACGCCACTGACTGACTGAGTGATAAGTTTACATCACACATCAGACAACGTTGTGGTTATAAAATCAACAGCAGCTTGGAAGTGACTGCTGGTTAATATGTCTCAATGGCTGCATTACAGTCACTGTTTCTAACTTGTTCCATTGTCTGACAACAGAGACAGAACAAATATATAAATGAGAACAGATTTATTGGGAATTCAGTAACATTAAAATACTGTATATGTGAGCACAGAGAGTAGGAGAGAAGCAAACAGCTAAAGAGCTGAAACCTGCTGACACTAGGCAGAATGAAAATGGCGTCAACGTCCTGCCATATACTAGATTTTGACCTGGTGTTGACTGGGATTTAAAGGAAAATTATTAAGCTTTATATTTCCTTTTACACTCCGTTTTAATTATTAAACTAATTATATTATGTATTGATGTGCTGAGATACATTTTTGACTCATTTGATAACCCTTTATTACATTTAGCCAGTTCTGTATCAGCAGTCCAAAAGCTAAGAATCAACTGTGTCTCCAAATATAAATAATGTAGAAAGACTAATCATGGAGAATTATTTGAGACTTTAATATATTCTATAATTAACAGCTTATGCGGCACAGTCCGCTTTGCTCTGGTGTGTTAGATCCCATCCATCTGGTAGTGGATGAGGGGAAAACAGTCTCTCTCTGGCTGAGGTTTAGAAGCTCAAAATGAAATCAGATGATCTAGTGTTTGGTTGGAATGAAAACCATCAGCTGTTTGAAGCATATTGCTTAAGACAAATTCATTTATTCACTGCTGACAGGCAACAGATAAACACTCAAAACCACTGTCTACTTATATCAATGCCAAAGCAGAAATAAACCCTTGTAACTTTCGTCTTTGATGGTGCTTTGAAGGTAGAGAATGCTTTCATGGATGAATACGTAAGTGTAACTGTTGAATATCACATAAACTTGTCATTAAAATGCTCTTTAAAAACTGCAAAGTCCTAAACCTTAATAGATTCTTGGACCATTGACTTTTTGAAGCCATGAGGTGTTTATCTGGTAGTAACAATGTGGCACTGAACCTTAACTGATTCCCACATTATGCTTACCTCCATTATCTCATAGGGAAATTAGCAGCTAAATGCTAAATGCTTCATCATGTTTGCCAGCTAGTTGCTAATTTTGTCTGTCTCTCACTTAGTACTGGGCCGGTTGCGTACAGTGGATTTTGAGAACGTTTTCACTGAAAACACCTGCCTACCACAGCTGGTATCAAGGTTGATTAGACAGAAAACTTGTAGGCCATAAAACCAAAACAATGAGCTGAAAGAACGTGTCTCCACACAGAGGATGGAATTTTTTTCTTTTGTTTTTTTATGAAAAGTTTAAATAAAAAGAAAGACATCTTGTTGTCTAAATCTGTTGTAGTGCGTTATGAGAGTGAGTGCAGTCAGGGGTTCTCATTATGAAGATCTCAGCATCAAACTGTGGAGTGGCTCCTTCTCCTTCCTCAGGAGAAAATTTTCTCATTGCATTACATATTTTTCTCTATCATTTGCCTTCTGTTTCCTG